ATCAATTCTTTTTTAGAAATATGCTTTGTTGCAATTACAGTTGCAACAGATCTGAGTATGCCACACCTTTCAGATATTCAATACTAAAAATGTTAAAAAAAAAAAAAAAAAAAAAAAACATGTATCAGTATGCTACATCATAGCCATGCAGTACTTCAAGTTGTTTTATCAAATAAAATCTCAATAAAATTCATCAAGGTTTGGCTTGCATAATGGCAAAATGTGAAAACGTTCAACAGGTGTATGCACTTTGGCAAGAAACAGAGCAGGTTTTACTGTTTTTAATCGACACAAATCTAATCTGCTGCACATAAAGTGACAGCTCAGCAAACACTGCATAGACTGTTCATTCATAGGAATCATGTTACCAATCAAACATATGGCAGCAGCCTCTAAACTTCTGCTTCTCCATGGCATTACCACAGAGAATCAGTTGAGCGACTAAATGCCACTGATTAAACAGATAAGAGCATTAATGTTCCACAATATTTAGTCCATCTGATCTTCTCTCCTTGTAATGAAGGCACAGAGTCTCTTAAGCTGTGGAAGCTGTCTTTGATGTGGTCCCTCCGTTTGCGCTCGAGCGCGTTGTGATGGGCTCGCTTGTCTGCCTGCAGAGACACACACACACACACACACACATACTTTACACAGGCATTTCTTCAAAACAACATGGCGTATATTAAAAAAAAATAATTTAAACACTTCATAAAACGAATTAAAGGGCTTGCTAACTAGTTTGCACATGGTTTCCGGTATGGCCTGTTTTCAACTTTAAAGGCTCACTGTGTGTACAAATTCCTGTGCAAGAGGAAGCAGCAGAGACGTTTTTAGGAATGCGATCTTTGTTTGCTCTTTGCTGTTTTAAAGGCTGGGCCGCTTCAAGATAAACAGGTCCCTACCCAGCAAACTACATATTTGCTATGAATCACAAGAAGTGAAGAGACCATCGAGCATCTTAACCGTAATTGTTCCGCAGTGGCTGGAGCCAAAACTCAGAACAAACTTCCTGTTTTCCCCAGAGTATATTTATGACGTGACAGAGAGATCCATTTCTCTTTGTCACGCTTCAAAAACGGAAAGACAAGAAACCATGCCATGTAGTTAAGGTAGATCTTCATAAATCAAGGTGAACGATAGAATGAATTGTAGTCATCAATATATATATATATATATTTTGCAATAATGTTATTGTACTGGACTCCATTGATTCAATATTCTGTTGAATATCATATTTTAAGCGCCATGCACTCACATTCTACATATCTGCACTTGGATGGTTTCTAACCATTGTTGATGCAAAGGAAATGTGTATTTTTTAGTGGCTGAGATGGTAAAGCTCCCAGAAAATTGTGGTGAAAATGAAAAGAAACCATAAAGACAGAAAATGTGGGTTTAATAAATGACATAATCACTGCAATTTTCAGCATTAATAACCCAACTTCACATTTCCCTGATATGCAGATGCAAGTCAGGACATGTCCACAAAACCTCTACTCATTTAATCTTGCCCATATCTACAAGCAATTAGCAGCAGTTATTAAAAGTTAAAGCAACTGAAACTGTGACAACAAATGCAGGATCAGGTCTTAAGTCTATTTGTCAGCACTGAATTAACTTTTTGGCAACATACACTGCTGGTGGATCTGAAAGGTTACACAGGAAGAATGTGTGTATGCCGCCCCACGGCAACTCCGCCGGTGATGAACAAATGTTTCTACGGTACCGCTATGATTGTAGCAGTTACATTAATAATGTCTCATTGTGTGCTCATTTTCATGTAGATTGGCATGTCGTAAGGAGTTAAGCATAGTTCCATGCATCTGGATTTATGTGCGAGTACAGTTTTCTGAATTTCAATTCACTAAATGTTTAAAAAAGAAATCTGTGAAAGCGCTTGTACAAACTTCTAAATAAAATGCAAGCACCCAGTGGCTGCAAGATGATCTGAAGCTGGACAGCCCAGTTTAATGAAACCGTGGGAGGGGGGGGGGAGATAATCCACAGTAAAATTAATAAATCATAACACAGAAGATATGTCAGACAGTGACTCCATCAAAGCTCCACTGTCAGCCAATGTCACACCCAACCAAATCAGTTGATATCATATGTATTTTGTTTTTCTAACGAAAAACATACAATGCAGAGGGATTATACTTAGAAATAAAACATCTACTTTAAAAGGGCCAAGTCGTTAGGGAGCTCATGGGATACGTGCGACAGCAGCAGAACACAAAAGTACTTCATGTCTATTCAGTGCTGATTTGCAATATTTACCATGCGGGGTAAAGGACGAAACACGCCCTTTTTAATCAGATCCAAGATTAGTAGATAAAACACAGCAGTATAATTTGACCATCTCAGTGCTATCGATGTAGCTACAATAGTAACACGGTGGGCCCAACCTGCAATGCACGGATTGCAGCAAACAAGATCTGTTGTTTGGTTTTTTTTAGTATTTTTCTGACATATACACCGAAAAACATCATTAAGAGGAAAGTGTATACATTTCATTTAAATAAAGTACAACATGTTCAGAGAATTTCCCCTCCCATGAGTTGACCTTCTTGCAGCAACAGCTTAACTGTTGTTCGTGACTGTCGTATCACGTTTTTAATGTGGAACACTGTAGTTATACAAGGAGTTTATTATGCATCTGACTACATTTGATTGATGTACGGACGTAGAGAAACTGTGAAGATACTTCTGTACGCAAGCTAATGATCAAGTACCTCACAGGAACATTATATAAACAACAATATAATGCGTTAATGTAATAAAATGTACAGTTCCCTCAGTCCAGTTTGTGTGTTTTGCTTTTATTTACAAGAAAATACTTCAACATGTTAGACAAACAGGAATTTTGTCGACTTGTTTCAAAAATATATATTCAGTGTTAGCTTAAAAATATTGAGCTAGCTCACATAGCTTCGGTGTTCAGCAGCTTATATTTACGCTGCAGTCCGTTTAAACAAGGCTGGCTAGCTAATACTGCTGGAAGAAACCGAATCACGTACATCGCTGTCGACTTCGATGTCATCGTTTTCGCTCATTCTTCAGTAAAAAAAAATGTTCTAGAAAAGAAAGCAGGCAGCTGTCAAAACAAAGTGCAGCGACAACTGGAGGCGAACACACAAAACGGTACGCGGAGCTGCTGCTGCTACGGCAGGCGCATGACGAGAGACACATGGACGGGAAAAACAAGCACGGCGCAGGCGCAGGTTGAGCAATGGCCCTATGGGAAATGGTGTTCAGGATTGAGATCAATTTATGTTAGGTGTGGGTACCACTTTTACATTAAGACTACAATTCCCTAAAAGCTAAGGGCTAGAACCTACCCCCCCCCCACACACACACACACAAAAAATCTACTTTACAAGTTAGATATCCAGTTATCTCAGGACTCTGTATGCTTAGTATAATTGCTGTAATATAGTGTTATATATTGCGAGATAGAAAATAAAAGAGCAGTAAGTAGATTTAGATGTTTGTCAATCATTCTATCCTATTCCTACATTAAAACCCACCATTGCATCCCAGGAATAATCAATATGACAATTTTGTGATGTTTGAGTAGTCATTTTTTATTGTTTGCGTCAACAACAGGCCCCCCTGCGCTTCATCAAACATACGATTATGAAACCAGATTGCAGTCTTGCTCACTTCAGCCGCCCTCCCCCACCTGTCATCCCTGGTTCTCCATTTTCATTCATAAGACCATTGAATAATATGTTGAGCAAACCATCACTTAAACCTTCTACAGTCCCCTTAAGATAAATGTTTTAATTAAAAGAAATGTTTGGATACAGGTAAAAAAACAACAAAAACAACAACAACAAAAAAAAACAAACAACCAAAAAAAAAAAACAGAATCTAGTGTTTTTTTTTTAAAGTTTGTTGTGTTATAATCAAATATTACCTTTTTATCTCAGTGAAACTGTCATTCATACTTGTGAAGGGTAGTAAAAAAATTATACATGGCTATAAAATCTATTTCTAAATAAAAATGCAACCCCTTGCAAGTCTTTCCAGGTACATTTCTTCCAGATATGCAGGTATAGGAATGTACATTTTTTGCTCATTCTTCTCATTCTTCTGCTTGCGCTTCTTTACAAAATAGTATGAGTTTGGTGAGATTGGAATCAGCGCATTACTGGAGTTTTACTGGATCATTGTAACACATGGGCTTTGACTTTAACCATAGCATTGCAGCTCTGAGTGTATATTTAATTTCATTGCCCTTCAGGAGGACAAACCCTTTTTCCAGTCACAAGTCTTTTGTGACCTTTAACAGGTTTACCATACCTTCTATTAAAGGAAGCCATTTGTGTTAAAAGAAGTAAACCTGATCTTCATAGCACGAGAAATCTTCCCTTCAACTCTGATCAGTTTCCCAATTCTTTCGAAATAAGAATATCATCACCACAAGATACTGCCATAATCTTGTTTCACAGTGGGGATGATGCATTCAGGGTTATGTGTAGTTAATTTTAACTTAAACACATGCAATACTGCCTGTTGTCCAAGCAACAGATTATTTTACTTGAGTTGTGGATCTCACTTGGATGGATGAAAAGATTGTTGAAATTATGGATCTTTTTATTTCTGCTTCATAATTATGCTGAAACTGTTGGTCAATCACAGAAAAATATATATAATATGTATATTATATATAATATATATATTTTTAATAAGTTTTGTTCATAGTTTAAAGCTAGATGTAGCAGTTTCACTCTGAGTGTAAAAATGTCTATTTCTAGCCAAATGTCTAACAAATCTGACTGTAAACTATATTTTTATTTTATTTCTTTCATGGATTTTCATGAATGTTTGAAGACGTATTTTGGGAACACCAACAAGCCTTGCAGGCAACCAAACCACTGTCTGTGAATATAAAAACGTGTATATGTTTCTTCTGCAAAATTAAGTCCAGTGCAATTTAAGATGAACAGAAACTTTTACATTCTATCCTCATATTTCAAGATTACTAAGCTCTAATTTTTCTGTAGTGACCCAAAAAGACAGAAAAGAGAAGAGGGGGCTTCTGGGGAGTTGGCACGATTGGCAGAATACTTTTAGTAACTAGCAATTAAAAAGGGGGGGGGGGGGGGGGGAGGGATTCATATGAGCATGTAATTTTGAGAACATCTGAAAATCCCTTTGTTAGTCTCTTGTTTAGCTGCCTGCAGCATCTACAGCAACCATTTTGTTAGAAGAACATGTGACAAAGGGGCTCAAACACAAAGTCGAGGGGTCTGGCACAAGAATGTGAGCCAGTATGAAGACAACGGTGCCTGTTTCTGCAGCTTAACACTCCAGCCAGCTGCCTGAAATTGAGGTAAGTGATATTTTTCCACTCATAACACCATTAGTTTTAACATTACTTATTTAGTTAAACTCTCTCTTTTGAGTGTTTATGTTCCCAGAGAAATCTGGTTGCGAAGGCATTTCCTTCAGCCAACTAACTATGTTTTTAGAGTTGCTATTGTAATAAGGTGTTTTTTGTTAATTTGACTCTGAATGTCTAAAGCTTTCATGAAAGCCATGGGTGACCCCAGGCAGTAATTAAAACGCTATGATAAAAGATGCAGCTATTGTCCAGCAAAAAGGGAGATTAAACTGTATTACAACCCCATTCTTAATATGAATGTACAGCTTGTTACAACGGTTCCAATGGCACAAATCAAATGTCATCAAAAAGTAATTTTCAGTAATTCAATAAATTAAGCTTTATGTGGATTTGTTGCACAAATATTTATTTACATCAATCTCAACATTCTTTTAATTGTTGACCAGCTTTGCTCCACTTGTGTTTTGACAGTTCGTGTTTAATGAGGAAATCCAAGTCTGTTAGCTCCTCCCCATGGTTTCTTCTTTAGATTCAATTTTGACTGAGCCACTCTAGTAAGACTAAAAGATTAGCTATCAAATTAAAAGAGTTTTCAATGTAGAATTTACTTGTTAACACTTCTGGGTGTTCTAAATGCAGATAAGGTGGCTTTTGTTTCTTTTGTTTTCTGTCAAAGATTCTTGGATTCTGATCAACTAAAAGCTGGTCTTATGTTTAAAAACATGTCACAAAAAGGGGCCTATTTAATATTCTTAATATTAGACATTAATGAAATATACTAGAAATGGCCAACTTAAGTAAATTACGGTAATGAAAGAATAGATCAAAAATATTTGCGCAGGTTGAAAATGCAATGCTGAAAAGAAGAAACACATATTACATATGTAAAATTATACATAAATTATAAACAGTAAAATCAGAAAAATTAAGCCATACATAGCTAACACAAAATAAAGTACAAAATTAAATTGTTTATGACAACATGATTCTATATATAATATATTGAAACAGATCATGTACATTTCTCTAAGTTTTAAACAAGTAAATTAACAATAAATTGAAAAATATTAATAGATACAATAATAGCTTGACTACATAGACACAGTGTTAGCTGGCTCAAGGAGCTTTAACCTTACAACCTTACCATTGATCTTCAATGCATTACTTTTTAATGGAGGACATTAAACTCTGACTCAGTGGAATTCAGAAAATTTGCTTTGCAGAGAAAACCCTTTTAGTCCCTCCAATCCATTTATGGAGCTAAAGACGAAGTTAAACAATAAAACCACTAAGAACAGAAGTTGGTGTGAATAATAACAATAACAGAACAAAATCTTACATACAACTGTTTTAGAACTAGTCCAAAACCAGACATTGAGCTCACAAGTATGCAGTTTTACCACACTGACCCAAAACTAGTTAAATAAGATAAATTGATTTTTTTCTAAATGATATAAATCTTGTTTATAAGGCTTCTGGGCTGAGAGCTATTGCTTGTTTTGCTCCAGTGGAAAATGTGATTTGAATAGTAAGTGACCTAAGCCAATGTTTGTCCATGTCTTTGTCCAAGGGGGGTATGACCAAAATTAGCATATTGTGAAAAGGTTCTCTGAACGAGCAATTAACTTAATCATCTGAATCAACAAAGTAACTCTAAACACATGCAAAAGATTCCTGAGGCTTTTAAAAACCTCCCAGCCTGGTTCATTACTCAAAACCGCAATCATGGGTAAGACTGCTGACCTGACTGCTGTCCAGAAGGCCATCACTGACATCCTCAAGCAAGAGGGTGAGAAACAGAAAGAAATTTCTGAACGTATAGGCTGTTCCCAGAGTGCTGTATCAAGGCACCTCAGTGGGAAGTGTGGGGGAAGGAAAAAGTGTGGCAGAAAACGCTGCACAACGAGAAGAGGTGACCGGACCCTGAGGAAGATTGTGAATAGCTGATTCCAGACCTTGGGGGACCTGCAGAGGCAGTGGACTGAGTCTGGAGTAGAAACATCCATAGCCACTGTGCACAGGCGTGTGTAGGAAAGGTGCTACAGGTCCCTCATTCCCCAGGTCAAGCCACTTTTGAACCAGAAACAGCGGCAGAAGCGCCTGACCTGGGCTACAGAGAAGCAGCACNATGAAGAACAAAAGCCTGCTTCCTGCAGGAGTAAAAAAGATGCACTTTATTTTTTTTTGCTCGCCCTCTTTCCTTCTCCTTTCTTAGGGGTTCCTTTTCCTCGAAGTTTCCTGAGGCGGCGCATCTCCTCTTTGAAGTCCTCATGCTCATCTCTGAAAAGAAAATAAGCCTTCTAAATGAAGTCATTTTATCCACAGCTCACTTTACTACTGTCAGAATATCTTAATGTTCATTCACAATCCCAACATTATGAGATCAAAATGTTAAAATCTTGTTCTGTTAAAAAAATCTGTTTATTCCCTCAGTTTTAACAAATTTCAGTACTTTTAATGTACTTAAAATTAAAAGTAATTTTAATGTACTTTTAAACATTAAAATTACATTAATGTTTAATGTAATTAAACATTAATGTTTAATTACATTAATGTAATTAATTACAACATTACATGAAGAACAAAAGCCTGCTTCCTGCAGGAGTAAAAAAGATGCACTTTATGTTTTTTTGCTCGCCCTCTTTCCTTCTCCTTTCTTAGGGGTTCCTTTTCCTCGAAGGTGGAAAAGGAACCGTGGTGGTTTTACTTTTAAAACCACCACGAGGTTTTAAAAGTACTTTTAAAACCTCGTGGTGATGAGAGTTTTTGTGGTCCTCCTCTGTCACCACAAAAACGAAATCTTCGAAGGTTTACTAGAGTACTCTAAGGTCATTGTAAACCTCATCAAAAGTATCAATCTATTTCTTTTAGATTGAAAAATCTAAAAAAAAAAAAAAAAAAAAACTCTCCCAACTGTTCTCCTTTTTGGGCCTCAGTAATTCCTTTTGCTGCCCCAATGATTAAAAAAATTCCAAAAAGCATTAGCCAACTTCCATATCAAGACCATGGCCTCGGATCTGGAGGGACTCATCCTCATTCCAGGCATTTCAAACTCGACTGTGAACCGCTCCAGTGAAAGCTCTAGATCACAACATGATAAAGTCAGTAGGACCACATTATCCGCAAAAAGCAGAGATGCGATCCTAAGGCCACCAAAACGGATACTCTCAACACCTTGGCTGTGAAATTCTGTCCATAAAAGTAATGAACAGAATCAGTGACAAAGGGCATCCTTGGCAGGGTCCAACTCTCACTGGAAAAGAGTCAGACTTACTGCCAGCAATACAGACCAGACTCTGACATTGGTCATACACTTAGCACAGACAAGGGCCCAACAGGCCATATCAAAGGGCCTAGTACCCCATACTCCTGGAGCAACCCTCAGAAGTTCATATGATGCCACTTTTAAGTTGAAGACTATCGATCTAGGAGTACAGATCGATAGCCGCTGCACATAAGCTCGGCGTGAAGGGTTATTGTGGTTCGGCGTTGGAGATAGAGGGCTGCGTCCTTAATAGCAGCTTTATTAAGGATACAGCGCTCTGCTGCGTCCTTAATAAATCTTCGGTAATAAATATAAAGTTTGTAAAATACATATATGCTTAAGAGTGATAAGTTCAAAATGACTAGATATAAACAAAAATAAACAAGCAATCACATGCAATATTAATCAATAAATCATCTATAAATAAGCACAGAAAAAATTTGAGTCAATTAGCACAGACTTGGGCATTGTAAAGCATGATGGCAACAGGCAGAAATGATTTTCTGTGACGCTCTGTGGTGCACTTTGGCAAAAGGAGCCTCTGGCTGAAGGTGCTCCTGTATCCGACCAGCACGTCATGGAGTGGATGAGACTTGTCCAAGATGGCCTGCATGTTGGACATGATCCTTCTTTCTGACACCACTGTCAGAATCCAGCTCCACTCCAGCGACGTTACTAGCCTTTCGGATGAGTTTGTTCAGTCTGTTGGTGTCCTCCACCTTCAGCCTGCTGTCCCAGTACACCACAGCATACAGGAGCAACAACAGAGTCATAAAACATCCTGAGCAAAGTCTGGGAGATGTTTAATGACCTCAGCCACCTCTATATATGTACGTTTCCAGTTTTTTATTTTTTTTAAACTTGTGGGTCTGGCTTATAGTGAGGTGCGCTCTATAGTCCGGAAAATACGGTAAGTTATTTTTTCAAGAAGTAATAAGTAATCCGATTAAAGTTTTCAAAATGTTTTCAATATAACTATGTCCTCACTGCCCACTACAGACAGTGCTGATACTGTGCTACGTGGAAGTCTTCTCCATGGCCTCTCCGAACTCCTCCCATGCCTGAGTTTTTTGCCTTAGCAGCCACCAGCGCTGCATGCTGCGTGGACTGCCAGGGCCAGGACAAACCTCCATATGGACCTCAGCAAAATTTGGTTTTGGGGCCCTCTATCTCTGCTAACAATGTGGATTGCTGCAATTAATAGTCAGACGATTAGATCATTCGCACACCTACTATACACTTATTACATCTCTCACAGTGTTGTTTACATTATATCCTATATACATGTATAATATAGGAAACATTTATCGGCCAGTTGATTAATGGCCACTGATTTCCTTAATTTTGGGGGATCAGTTATCAGTCGATACTTAACATGGGAAGCCGATTTTATCCCCTGATCTTGTCTTCCTCAGCAAAGGTTTAAATAACAGTTTGTCCTCTTCTGCTCTACAGTGAGAGAGGTTTGACTGACAGAACGGACCACCAGGTCGTGTCTGCATGTTTGCAGTTAACAATATTCACCCCACTGTGACAAACTCAGTGACTTTCTTGCTATATTCAGCAACATTTCAGACTAAAACAATTGGTATAGGCCAAAATCAAAATCGGCAGGTCAGGCTTTTTAAAGATCGGTAATAGGCGATCAGCCAGAAAACTGCAAACGCTGCATCCCTACTTAAGATGGAATACAAACACACATATTCATGACATACTTTGATTA